ATAAGTTTTTCTTCCTTGCAGAACTTTCTTGCCGTTGGTAGAGAAGGTGTTTCTTGGTTTTTCTAGGTCACAGGAAGTCAAGTTTTTGTTTGAAAACGAATATAAACAAGGGAAAGAGTTAAGAAGTGTTTCTTGAAGTAAAACTTCAAGTTGTTTTAAGGATAGTATTAAGACTTTATTAGCAAAGAAAATAAAAATTTCTTACGAACATCTTTTTTGTGTGTGATCAAGAGATCAGCGGAAAGAGTCTTTAATTTATCAAAGGTGAAAATATTTTAAAAGTAATAAAACTTTAAAAATTATATATATAAATTTTTTGAAAAAAATGTAATAAATATATATGAATTTTATAATTTTTAGTTTTATAATTAAGAATTTGAAAATTGTTAAAGTTAAAATTTATAATAAAAATATAGTAAAAAGATTCAAACTTTTGAAAACAATTGTAAATTAATATTAATGAATTTATAAAAAATAATATTTACTATTTATAAATTATAAAAATATTAAAAAACAATATTTATTAATATTATAATTTATTTAATATTGTTTATTATTATTATTATTATTATTTTATTATAACCCTCTATTAGACTAGTTATATATACTTTATTAAACAATTGTAAGCTATATATTATATATATGTCGCTAAAGCTAAATTTTTAACTAACTCATTTGTCAAAGTCTTATATTTATCTAGGACTCTAAGTACAATTTTGGAAGTGATTTATCATTCTGTTAGTAGTTATGGTGGAAATTCTTTCAACTTCTAACATTATCATTTGCAGGACACTGCTGCAAATCACTGCACAATGTTCTGACAAGGATCAAAACCCAATCATTTCATTCCATATTTAATTCCATTTCTTATAATTTCTATAAGATTTTTATTTTTACTTTTTTTCATTTCTTCTCTTTGCCTTGTGCTTTTGTGACTAGAATTATCTTGTAGACCTTGCCTTTTTGCTTCCTAGGTCTTCTTATATTTTGCTCTTCTATCAATTCTTTGTTCTTATTCTTATTTAATGATCTTTTTACATCTCATATTCCAGACTTGTTTTCAGATCTGATTGCAAATCTTCTTTTGTACTTTTAGAATCCATTTTTTTGCCATTGTTTTCAGCTTCTTTCTATAACAGTTTAGGTTAGTAGCTTCTTTGATTGCATCACTTTCTACTAATCCTATACAAAAGTTAAAAGTACTTGAACTGGTTTGTGAAGCTAATTCTTTTAGTCTGAAAACTTATTTATCTAATTCATCTTTTTCTCTTCTATTGTTAACTGTTAATTGTATTATTTTATTATTATTATTGTTATTATTAAAACTGGCTCATCTCATGCCTTCTTTAGTACTTTATTAAGAAAAGATCATATTTAGCAACAATCAGGATGAATACTTTCCCATACTGTCTAAGGATTTATAGATCACTAGAGAGAAATAGAACAAAAAGCCATCTATTTTTATGACTCAATCTATGTCTAACCTAACCAGGATAAGGAAAATACATGACCACCTAGTGTAAATACTTCTCTTTTAAAAACAAAGTGGAGGACAAATAAGATACACAAGTTGTGCATTGCTCACCTATCTCCATATTCAGGAATCAATGCTATTTAGAGTACACTAATGCATTTACCGATTAGCTTATTGCCACCCACTACAGGGTCTAACATGTCAGAACTCACATAAGAGTTCCAACACTATCCGATGTTGGAGATCTCTTATACTAGTCTTGTGACTAGTCAGTATTAAAAAATAAAAGTAAAATGAAGGGTGAAGGTTAAAATATTTACAAGAAAATAAAATAGGGGAAGAAATGAAGGGACATTTAACAACTATTCATCCACCCAACTTTGCCTCAGAAGGTACTCGATCCATAGCCTTGACACTTTCAGAGTTGATGTGAGAGAGGAGATCATAGTCCATGTGATGTTTATCCATCTGTACAACTAGCCGGTGACTTATAATGGACCTAAAGTTCTTATAAAGCTTAGGAAATGCATTCACGTCCCATGTCACGTGTATCCTTGTTTACATTTCTGTTAACCATGGAGCAACCAGTCCCAAACTTCAGCCAATCAATCCATCCAGAATCTGGTGTAACAGGAAATTCAGGGCCAAGCTAGGGTAGGCAAAATTCCTCAGAAAAATCAAGAAAACTGTTACACACTGAGAGAGAAGTCATTTTTGCCTATGGTATTGATGTCTGCCTAATAGTTGGCATGGAGTTGTTGGCCCAAACTTCTTTTTAGACTCTAGGACCTCCATAGGGAAGGGAGAGAGGGTACTTTTTCATCTGGTTTCTTCTTTCTAGAAAAGCTTTCTTGCCATTAACTTCTTAGGTAGAGGGTTTGTGAAGAGGAAAAGTAAACAAGAAGGGTGTAATATGACTACTGCCAAGCGAGGCAGATGTTTTTAGAGAGAGTTTTGAAGTTTTATTACTCTCAAAATATAAAGTTTTGGAAGAACGCTTCTTTGGAAGCGATGGTTAGGAATCTATAGAAAAGAGTTGATCGTTATTACTGTTATACCATGTTTTTTGTTTGCTTCCCTCTTATGTTCTTAATACAACTTTTTAAATTCTTTAAGAAAAGTCTCTGATCCTTTTTGTCATACTGCTAGGATCTCAATTTTATGACCAGAGCATTCTAATAAGTGTTCTATTATTTCTTGATATTGATTACATGCTATATATCTTGTTTGCTTATATAGGTCTGATCTTCTTATTATTAGCTTACTTAAGGTAGGTAGTTTATCATTAATCAATTTAACTAGAAAATTTTTTCTCTGTGAGCTTTTGAAGAAGATATTTCATGTATTTTTATCTTTTAACCTATTCCATGCTAGATCCCATGAATAGAATTAATGTTTGTAAATTTGATGATGCCATTTTGTCTCTGTTCTATATTGCTATATCTATTATAGAGCCATTAATCTTTTATTAATTTGTTTGATGAACTGTCATATTGGACTGTCTATCACTTTTTCTTGCCACATAATTTCTGTGGATATTTTGCTTGATTTAAAACTCTTCCATTCTATTGCTGGTAGCTTTAATGACTCTTTGATCAGTTGATCTGTTTCTTCTTTTTACAGATTATTAGAGTAGACTTTAACTTTGATCAAAGTTAGTTGGATATGCTTTTTTTTTATAAAATCTAGTATTCTTACCTATAATAACCAATTCTTTTCTTTTGGTAATCTTTTGTGTATTATTTTTTAATCTTCTTTCTCTAACTTTTTTCATCTAAAGATGCAGACTTGACTATCTGTGAAAATCTCAATAGTACTATTTATTGGAGCTACTAAAGCTATTGTAACCAGTGCTACTAGTTCTGCTCTTGTGAACAAGAACCAGTTTTTGACTTCTGTCTGAAATTTACTTTCTTTTCCAGCTTCTTTTGTTTGTATCTATACTGCACACATTTTTGCATTCTCGTTCCTATAATCGATTAAGGATTTGTCAAAGTAGAAGGTTAGCTTCTTCTGTGATCCTTGATTGTACATTGTTTATTATTATTATTATTTTTTTTATTAATTATATATATAGTTGTTTTCAAAAGTATAAATTTACTTATTATATTTTAAATTTTAATTTTATTGATTTTAAATTCTTTTAATTATATAATCAAAAATCAAAATATTTATATACAGTATTTTATATTTTAATATCAATTTTATTATTATTGTTTTGTTATAATATAATGATATTTTTTTTATTATAATTTATTTTTATTTAAAGTTTTTGTTGAAAAAAATGAATTGAACTTATTTTGATGTTGATTATTTTAATAAACCAATATATATTTTTAATTTTTACTTTTAAATAATTTTAATTAATTGTTACCATAAATTATATAATAATTAAAAATATTTGACAATAATAAAACTTTTGAAATTATTTATAAAAACTTTTTTTAAAAAATATAAGAAATAGAATATGTATTAAAATATTATACTATATATATAAATTTTTATAATTTTTGATTATATGATTAAAGCTTTAAAAATTGATAAAGTTGAAATTTATAATAAAAATATAACAAGTAAACTCAAACTTTTGAAAGTAACTGTATATAATTTTCTGAAATAATTATTAAGATTAAATATTGTGTATTTATTTTATATATTTTTATTATAATTATTTATATAGAGAAAATATATATTTAATAATTGTCTTTTTTTTTTTTTTTTTTACTGATAATTCAATCTAAATCAAATATTTTAAATAATAATTTGATTTTTTTTTTTTTTTATTTTGTCCCTAGGTTTTTAAACTAAGAAATTATTGCCAATGGTTTGCTATTATTATTTATTTCTATATCAATAAATTGCTAAGTTAAAAAAGAAAAAAATAACAATTCAAAGCATTTTCAAAAGATTCTTCCCATATTAATTAAAAATTTTTGAAGGAAGATTTGGTTGAAATATATATATATTTTTATTTTTAATCATTAGGAAACTTAATAATTTTTGAACTTTAAAACTTCTTTTTAACTGTTTAAGGGATTTATTCTTTTTTCATGATATATTGTATAAATGTGCTTATTACATCTACTGTATCAACACCGTACTGTAAAGATTCAGAATAAGGGGAGAGATTATTTTCAAGAACATTATCTAACTGAAATGATGGAAACAAGGAAGCCTTTTTACCATCTTTAAATATTTCTCAATTCTTTATTAATCTTAATTTTAATGCTTATTTAATTTTATAAAATAAATGTTTGTCTTATCTTCTAACAAATAGTAATTAATACGTTTTAATCTGTAATGTACATGTGACATTTTTATCAATGCCAACTACTTTTGCAGCATTGACAATATTCCTAATTAATATCAGTTTTCTTATGTTTTTTATTAATTGTCTGGAGCACCCAGTCTCTTAACGTCACTTGTTTATGGTCATCGACTATTGATTTATATATCGTAGCTTCATGCTGAAGAGAAATTTCCGTACATAATTTCCAAATAGAAAAACTGCAATCAGGATATATAATGCGTGGTATCAGTCGGGATGATATGGTCCCGGAAAGACGAAGTGAGTTGTTCATTTCGAATTCGGATATTCCACAAGGCAACTTACTGTCATAATCATGACCTATTGGATTACGGAAGTTAGTGGGACATGCGACATAGACTAGTAATAAAAAGGAGAGGAGAAAATAATATACCGTGATTGAGAACTTTGTATATATGCTCTAGAAATGTGTGTGAAACAAATTCGCCCACAACATAATTTCTATTTAGTTCGACCTTCTTGGAAACCGCAACGTGGGCGATTATCTGCGCGAGATCGGATTTCACCGATATGTTAATGAAGATGAATTGTTTAGGATTGTGGAATGCAGTAGTGACAGCGGAAATGTCGTTTCTTAAAACTTCGTCGGCAAATATTCCAACTTGAAATAATATCCACTGCATCTTATCAGTACGGGGAACTTGGTATGATGTGGAATAGCGCGTCACGGATGGCTCGCATGACGTAAAAGAGTGTGACACAGATGAGGATGATTGTGCATGACAAGCTACTCGAGGAGAGCCACGAGATGAATCGTGGAAGAGTGACATGTAGTTTAGCAGTGTCTGATGAAGTTGAGTCCTCGGGCACGCTCGATTATGTACCAAATGATCCCTGTTAAGTGATTTTGTGAATAATTACGTGATAATACGTAAACATATTGACAAAACGAGCATGCTCACAATTCCATTCCGGAATCCCACGTGATAAATAAAGCTACATCTTTTTGAATGCATGCAAAGAATAATTTCTCCTGTTTTTCAAAATCATGATACATCATGCTTATTACAATGACGGCATCTGCTCGCGAATAAGTTAATGACATGTAAGTCTGTGTATTGTGAGCATAGTAATGAAAGCGATCATCTCATTATAATTACTTGTTAACGCAACCTCATAATCTTCAATTTCTTGCCAAGTGCCTTTTACTATGTCTACATCCGTGTTCATTTCAATGCTCTATTAATCAAGTTTGTTTACACATTGACTGGTTATTTTAAAGACAAAAATATTTAACCTGACTAAAAATCACCTGTGATTGTTGATTGGAGACTAAAAGATGGATCTTTTTCGAACCTTTAGCACGTAGGCTTGAGATAATCAAGGCTGTGAGTTGAATATCTCCGTTGCAAACGATGTAAATATCGATGTCAGATATGTCAGTAGTGGTCATTGTGTTCTTAAGGTGAAGTTCTATTTCGATGATATTTTTAATGTATAAATTTTACTTGTTCGAGTAAACAAATATTTTGAAAGAAAATTTTGCAGTAGTGGAAGCCATTTTATAGGATAGTTTCGAGCTTGGTCAGTTTTGGCATCAATACAACGAACTCAACTACTATTCATTGTGTTTTCTTTTTCTCTTTTTCTTCTTTTTATTTTTCTCAGAAAAGAACACTATTTCTATAGAAAGGAAACACCATTTATTGAAAGTACATATACAGCCTAAAATTAAATATTTGTAAGTTTTGTGCCAATTCTTCCGAAATTTCCGAAATGCATAAGGAAGCTCTGTTTACAAGCACATCAAGTCAAGCTGTCTTAGTAAAATTAACAATTACATTAAGTTTCTTACATAACCTATGCACCGCGAATACTAATGAATACTTTTAACATGAAAACTATTGTATATTGCATTCAGGATAAATTTGGAAGAATATGATGTTCGCGAAAACATCATTATTCCTATATTAGTGTCAGCACAATAATCCGTGTCTACTACGCATACACGTGATATGATTGCACAAATTTTGTCCATTACATACTGTGGAAACCGACGTTACCTTGTTTCATAAATAAAAGGTGGGATAAGTGAAATAGGTGCCATAAATTATTTAATTAATTTTGGACCGTTTTTGAAGGGCCTAACACTGCGTTGTATCAAAACTTCCTAACGCAAAATTGCGAATATGACATAATTTCATGTGTCACTTTTTAACGGTCCGAAAGATTCTCGTGATAATATTACGTCTCGTGCAATAAAACACCGATGTATGTTTTTACATATTGAAAATTAACAACTCGTATTTTATACCCCGTATTCCCTAAAAATAGTATCCTACCGCATAAAGTATCTCCCTTCACCAGTAAGATTGTTGGATCCGTGAATAGCACTCAATTTTAAAAATGGGATTCTTGAATAAGACCCTGGGCACTATAGGCAGTGCTAGATGGTAATTGATAGACGGGATTATACATAGTAGAAATGAATTTTCAAAACTTCAAAAGGTAGAATTATAGTAATTTAAGAACAGTCAATAGTAGAATTAATGTATAATTACTATATATAATAAGATCAACAATTCTACCACATGCATAGACGAGAAAATTTTTTTTTTTTTTTTTTTTAATGCCGATTTTTTATTGTGACTTAGTTAATTTGAATGTACAGATTTTTATATCAGATTAC